TGCAGTCTAGATCGTCGGAGTTCTATCGCAAAGGCATTAATAACCTTCCCATTAGATGGCAGCAATGTATAGATAATAATGGCAACTATTTTGATTAAATAAATTTGTTAAAAATTTAAAAATAAACAATTTATATTTTCAGTACAAATCGGCAATTTCATACTTTAACCCCTGTTATCTCATCACTTTTTTTAACAAGATTCATTTGAATAGCATCGTATAATCGTATTTGAAAAATGGTAGTTCAAAAGTTTGGTTATTTTTCATTTGTACTTCTATGGTTTGTCTGTGGTTGTATAGTGCTGTACGAAAAAAAAACATTCCGTTCATTCAATTAAATTTTTGTAATCGATTGGTAAATCGAAAATTTCAATCGCAATCTAACGAGATACTCGTAAGTGTAAAGATTTGAAGGAGGATTTAAAATTAAGATATCGGAAATTTTAAATATTTTATAGGTTATGTATTTTTGCTATTCATGTAAGGAAAATTGCTAGTATGACTCAATTAAACAAATCGATTCATTCAATTAAATTAATCGATTTATAATTTGCATTACAATTGGTCATCACTAAACCGTGTATGGTCAGGCCAGTAACGTATTTGTTTACTTTTTGTTTAAAATGGATTTAAACGAAATATAAAGTGGTTTCCGTTTAAACGCCCATCTCTAATTAGGTACCATTTGTTTTTTGTTTTAAAGTTCTTTTCTATCCAATTACATGTATTAGTTATAAGGGCCCTTTGGAGCTGTGAATGTCATAGTTAATAAATAACTAAATAAGAAGGTAGAATCCCCCTTCTATAACCAGGGACTAGAGGCAGACTTAGGGTGCGTTCAAATTAACCGCTGTTAGACGCGCTGCAGCAGGGCTACAGCAGTGCTATTAGGTTCCACCCCTGTGTTGTGGATATTCACAAGATTCGCACGAAGCATTACGCTTCCACATTTAAAAGGCGAACGGCTATGGAATCAAATTTGAAAACTTGGATTTTTTCAAGTTGAGAGTGAATAGGCATTATTTATGCTCCATCGTCGATCTGATGGTCACTTTCCACAAGTGAGATGAAGGGCAAAAGCGTATGTACATTTTTATACAAAAAAAAAAAACTAAATAACGCACACATACATACTCAAAGTCCCGCACTAGGGAAACCCTGTGTCGCGAGTGCCACGGACACACTAGTCTAGAACACCACATTTTTGTGCATACTTTTAAATTACACATAAACTCACGAGAGAAATAAATGTAGGCCTTACAAATATTCCTCGGCCACAGAGGCAATTGTGAAAAATATTCCTTCTTTTAATTTATTATTACTTATTTAATTTTTTACAGTTTCAAGACGGCCGCTATATGCAAAGTGGAATCGTAGCTTTGAATGTTGGCAGCGAGGGGAACATGCTGTACGTGGACGTGTCCAACATACGGGACTGGATCGATGACAAGGTCAAAGGAAAAGGGTACAGCACACGAGAATACTCTTTTAATATTTAAATACTAGATTTAACTAGAGATGACAATAACGACTATTTGTCAATAATGAATTATTCCGCTATGTTATTTTTCAATAACTGTTATTATATTATTTCCTGTTATAATGCTGTCATGTCGTTTAGCATGCAATATGACACACATAGTAAGTAGGTAGAATAAGTATTATGTAACCCAAACAACACTTTTAATAACACTAAAAGGTTAGTTGGAAGAAATGCCTTATGGCATAAACTCGCCTTTGCTTACTACGGCTCAACTCACACTGGCGCTGAGTCGAAGCGTCGCGTCGCGTCGCGTCCTGTTTTTCAACTACAACGCCTGACACGACGACGCGCGACGACGTATGGTCGGTGTCTGATGCCTGACTGCGCCCAAGTAACGCTCCGAAACCGCTCGACTTCAACCAAGCGACGTCGTTTCCATATTTGCATAACACAAATGTGTACCTCAATAATGGGAAAATAGAGGTGAATGTGCTATAGGCGAAAAACATGACGCGTCGCGACGGTTCGACTCTGCGCCAGTGTGAGTTGAGTCTAACGTTTTTAAATTATCTATTAAAATTTGGAATTTGTTTTGTTGCATAATAAAGTGTTTACATATATACATACTGGTCATAATGTACAAGAATAGAAAACGCTAGTTTAGTTTTTTCATCATCAAAGAACCAACTAATCACTGCAGGATCTTATTTAACATGTTCCTTTATTTTTTAATTTTTAATTCGTGTTATTAAAAATTAAAAAACCCGTCCGATGACTTTTGCAGTCACCCCCAGTGTTGTTATCTTTTTTCAAAATTCCCCATCGTAATGAAATCGACAACTAATTTTCAAAATTTAGTAATTATTGTAAGTCGTAATAAGCATTTTAAAGTAAATAATAGATTAAACAATAGTCTTTGCTAACACAATGAAAACAAATCGATGGCTTACTTTCTCAAACACGTATCGTATCTTATAAAGAGTGGTTATTCAGGAGATTTCTATTTATTTTAAATTTCTTATTAAAAGGTGTTTATTTGGATACATTACTTTAAGAATAGACAAAAATGCCAGTGTGTGAATGTGAAGGAAATGCGATGTGAAATCAGAGTGCAAAATTTGTATATAAACACAAAGTAACTATATATATGTGTACATAGTTACTTAGCATAATAAAATTTATACTATCTGCTAATAAACAATTTCGAATTAATTTTTTTTCAATTTCGTTTAAAACTTTTATAATAAATCCCCCGAATAAGCAAAGTAAATAATCTTTATTTCCTCCACAAAGAAGGATGGCGAAAGCTGCCCCAATAACGACGAAGGGCCGTTCATGGACTTTGCTTGTATAATTTTGCGTTTTAGTTTATGCCTAGTTATCAATATATTTTTGTATATTTTTAGAAGTCGGGAATAAAAAATAATGTAAAACATTGTATTTTAGATTAGATACAAGAACACGACGCAATTGATTCAGTTCGACTATAGATTAGGTAACGTTCTTCCAAGTACGTTCCAGTTTAGGCATCATTGAATGTTCAGGTAGGTCTACCTGAAGCATTGGTTATTTTATAGTACACACATAAAACATTAAAGCTATAAAATACCTAATGAAATATTCAATTATGAGTAATAAGATAAAGCAAAAAATAAAACACGATGTGACAAAAATATTCAGATAATATTTAAATGAGAGATAATGAAAGTTGCAAAGGAACGTTTTGACAAGAGATCTCTTGCCAATGTCACATTGACATTGAGAACAGCGTCACCATTTGTGACAGATTTCTGCCATTTGGGCAGATTTGATTTTTTTTTTCATTTTCATTGCAGCAGAACATGACAAGTTATATTAAATGTGGCTGAGTTTGGCAGATTTGGGAATATTTGGAAATATTTACAACCTACACCAACTTTATAATCCCAGGTTCTACAGTCTGAACTCAATTAACTTTTTTGATGCTTTGATAATGAATCACAAGTATTCATAGGTCTCCTTAATGCACGTCGTCAAAATCACTGGGTCACAAAGTACACGGGATGTCGCCATCCTTCTTTGTAACAATTTATATGACATAATAGTAGTGTATACAGGAAAATTTTAAGAGGCTGTAGCCTAAACTACGCTACCCTGTATTTTAAGGTCATCAGGCTTCTACCTCCCGAAGTTCTGATCAATCAATCAATAAGTCTATGGAAACCAATTACATAACGGAAAAAAAAGAGAAAAGAAAAAAGTATGTGAGAGTGCGTATGATGAGTGAGTGCATGAGATGTGTGTGAGTTTAGACGATGAACTTTACGAGTAAGTGAGCGTGTTTGGATGGATGAGAAAAAGTATGAGATCTCAAACTTTGATTGTAACACTAATGCGTACGAAACTACGAATTAGATATTTAACGGACAATTAAAAATACTCAGTACTGACACGCAAAATGTTCTTACTAAGTACAACTATTGGTCTCTCAACTAGTAACGATGTTAGAGATTAGGCGGGTCAGCGCGATGTGCCCTCGTGCGTGGCTCGGTGTCCATAACAAATACTAATTACTTAATAATACTAATTAGTAATAATGAATGATCATTCGGGTCATTTGAATACGAAAATTAGTTACTAATTTGTCATTCTAAGGACAGGATTAGTAATTACTGACGAATCGAATATTGAAGTCATTCGCAATCATGCGTCACGATTTTTAGTTTTTAAGTCTAAGAGTGCTGGTGAAATTACAGGCACATGGGACTTGTCAACTTATGTCTCAGGGTGACGGGCAGTGGCAGTGCCCCTCAGATATTTGCGATTTAAAGCTCTGAGTGATACTGCAACTGTTATGGATATGCGTGCAGCTTACCCTTACACTTGATATTATAAAAACAAATATTGGAACATCATGAACAAAGAATTAGACCGAAAAAGAAAATGTTTAATTCCTTCGAGATATTGATTGATCTCATTAGTTGTGAATTCTATAAAACAATAAAAATAATTTACAAAACAGTGATTTAATGGTTTATTTTAGTTTTGTGGCACTTTTAAAGAATTGTTTGGGTGACAGTCGGAAATATCCAAAAAGCCGAATAACCGGTACCGAGAATTAAAAATTAAATGTCAAGTATATCTACTAAACGTTCTTATTATGTACACACGCCAGCACATCAAGCTACACATTGACGTAACTTGTTCCGTTGCACTGGAGGCGATTTTCGAACAAAAATGTATAGGCTGGTGTGCCGGTGTACATCTGTATATATTTTTATGCACCAATCGGTCGTCTACAGTCAGTGACACGGAGTGGTGAGGCACGCGGCAGACGCTTCCTTAGTCTCAACTTAAGGAAAATAGTGCTAAAATTATTTTTTCAAAACAATTTCTAGTGAAACAAGAAGGTATTTTGTTTCTGCAAGAGCAAGGTATATAACAAAGGTATGTATTTGGTACAAAAGAATAACAATATCTTACAATGTGTTCACGCGTATATGCTTAGAAATAACAGGATTATTTTTAAAACACTAACGACCTCACAGGACTACATTTTTTTTATAACATCAAGTGGTAAGCTAGACGCCTGTCCATAACAGTTACAGTGCCACTCAGAGCTTTTAATTGCAAAGATCTGAGGAGCACTACCACTGCGAAGTTGACAAATCCCATGTGCCTTTATCCTTCAAAACCGGAACACAGCAATGCTGACATTGCAAATGAATTGTGAAGCACTCAAATATAATATTTGTCAGGTATATGAATTCAAATGTTTCTAATTATTTCTCTTCACTCTCATTCTTATAAAGAGGCAAATGGTGGCATGCACTATACAGCCAAGTCATTTGTGATGAAGGTTGCCATTTAAAAAAAAACGCATGGTGGTTTGCGTTACAATATGAGGTGGCCTAAGTCGGAATTATTCATAACGTCTGAAAAGTCTCGAATGAAAAATATCAAGTGCAAAAGTATCGGTATCGGAAAGAAAAGTACTCGATATCAAAAAGTGTCGATACTTTTTCCACGTCTCTAGGTAAATTCGCAAGTCGAAATAGCAACAACAGACACACTGACAGACAGACAAACAAACAGTGATCACTGTGAACGCAAGTTTGTATATATGCACTGTAATTGTAAAGACAATTCTGCTCAATTGAATACAAGCTGTGTTTCATATTTAAATAGTTGTGCATCCTGATAAACACCCTTACCAATGTACATGCAATGATGTAACAATTGCTGATGAACCTCAATAAGTAAATAAATAAATGGTGCCGAGGTCACCCAAAAGTCTTTGAAAAACCCTTGGTGACACGAGGACGACCTTGCACCCACGCCAAAATAAGTCAAAGAATCAATCATGCCATAGGTAAAATAAATGTACACTTGAAAACATCACATTTATGCTACTGATCGTTCACTACACTAACTTCCTTGAGAAGAACGAGCAAGAAACTCTAGATTGCTCTTTTCAAATACAAATACAAAAAACTTAAATGCTATGGAATAAATTCACTTTGAATCAATTTTGTGTGGAATCTAGAGCCATGTCATCTCCTTTCCATACATCTTTATTATCGTAAATTAAATGTTGTCTTGTTTAAGTGTACATTTTTTTTTTTTTTTTATTGGCAATTTATTATTTAATTGTTTAATTTTATTTCATAAGATTCTCCTAAAAAGTATTTATAATATTAATAGTATCCACATTTATAATTAGTAGTACTTTTTACCTGAAATACAGGAATTTCCTAGTTAAGGTACATGTGTTATTTTTACATTAAATCGCATAAGTAGTCTTTAGTTTTCTCTGTACATTATGTTACTGAATAAACAATTTTATTTTATTTATTTTATTTATTTATTTATCTTTATATATCACGTAGTCATTGACTTATAAATAAATGGACGACGGGTCTAATACAAAAACCACGAAAAAAATGTCCCCAGTCAACCTATTCGAAATTTAAATTGTAACGTCATCGCAGTATCGCGCTGTCAGTAGAACAAATGAAGACTAAAGCGGAGTTTGGCGCTCTGTATACGATTTTAGCGCCTTACAAGTGCGGACACTTTTTATATACATATAATTGTAAGTCAATGCACGTAGTCGTCAATTTGTAATTTTCAATCAAAATGTTATTAATGTAGTTTTATAGGCGCTTGGATGTAGAACTTTTGGGTAAGTAAGTTGATGATGATGACATCTAATTACGCACAGTCAACGGAATGTAGCGTTTTACGGCGACACTAAAAGAAACCCGTTTTTGTTGAACAGGAAAATGTTTTACAAAAATAAGAAACCTGACTTATTATTCTGAAAATAGGTATCTACAATATCTGACCGGTTCTTGTGATTCAATATGTTTATTTATGCAACACGAACCATGTTATATTATTATTTACATAAATCTAACAACTTAACCATAGCCAATGTGTGTGGCCATAGAAAAAAATCCTTATTTTCCTGTAGAGCTGGTTCATATTTTTTAGTTATGAAATGTAATGAATTTGTTAACCTATCTAATTCTGACTGAAGACGCCGTGTGTCACATTCATAACTTTGTCTTTCTTTCAATTCATGCAACAAGTTCTGACATTCTTTTACAAAGTTATCTTTTTATAAAATGCAGCAATTTTCTTTATTAATTTGTTGGTGCTGGAAATATATTTATTAATTTTAACATATTTTTTACAATGTGAAGTCAAACAAGTTGAATTTAATGAGTGATCTTCACAAGTAAAATCAGTAGTGATTGCTTCTGATTCGGGAGATGTTACAGTAGAGGTCTCTACTGTAACATCTGATGGTGCACCGCTGACCAGCTCATCAAATAGGGACTGCACTTGTGTTGAATGTTGTTCGTCTTTTGCTTATTCCAATATTGTTATTTGATTGTATGCGTCGCATAGGTCACATTCAAAAAAACGTGACACGCCTCCTGTCCATAACAGTTGCAGTGCCACTCAAGGCTTTAAGTCGTACAGGTTTAATGGGCACTGCCACCACTCAACAAATCACTACAACAGTCACAATAAGTATTTAACGTACGCAACCCTGAATGGTGTGTCCCGAGCGAGTGTATGGCAGTTCGGGCTAGCACACGCCGTAGGATTGCTCTGTCATTAGACTATCGTTGGGTAACTGTCACAAGTCACAGGGATCGTCCTAGATTATTTTTAGAATAGTAAAAATTACTATTGTCCTATAAATAATAGTATATTTTATACTTTCACAGATGTACAAGTTTTTCCTTCTATCACTACTTGCCGTGGCACTAGGTCAAGGCACCAGCGGCGACGTAGAAAAAGTAAGAAGGCAAATATCCGGTACGGAACCACCGGCAACCGGTAGCGGAACTGACGCCGGTAACTTTTTTTTTATAATACCAAGTAATGGTACGATCAAGACCTCGGCTGTCGTCTGTTGGCTCGTTTCATGAACCCTCACTCGTATTTTAATGCCCTTCATTATGTAACAGTCACTAAAACTACTATTATTGTTTGCTTGTCGTTTAGTATAATTCGAAATTATAATTATAATGTTAAACGGTACTTACACAAAATCATAACTGGAATCGTGACCTTTGAATTGTTGGCTACCATTTTTGCTAGTGTAATGGAAATAGAATAATTGTAACTTTTTTATAAAATAAATTCGTCCCCTAGTTTACCACCCTTAGAGGTGAAATATTTTCTTCAAATTTAAATGGTACCAATACCGAGGTAACCTCTTTCCAACGAAAAAGAAACATCAAAATTGGTTCACAAATGAATTATCGTTCATGCAAAAAAAATATAGCCGAGTAGAGAACTTCCTCCTTTTTACGAAGTCGGTTAAATGCGGTGATCTTTTTGTCCGGCTAGATCAAGTTTTAAATCACCGTATTTCAATCAACACACGAGCTCCGAAAAGTGTAATTTTCGGGATTTTAATAAAGTAAATATTCATCTAGTGTCCTGTTTTTTATTCGTATTTTATAATTGTTCAAAATGATCGGTTATGAATTAAGGTGGCCTATTAACTAAAAATAACGGATAACTTACGTATTTAAGTCGAATTTTTTTATTAAGAACCGGGACAATTGGGGCTCTGCAGTGACGGAACACTCATTGGATTCGGATTCGACGCACTATATTCGTTTTGATAAAGTGTCCGTACTGGCGAGAGAAAAGCATTTAATTCCGCGGTAAGTACGTGAAGTTATCGAGATTGGTCGTTATTTGAATTTCAATCGTGATAGTGGATGGTCGGTACCCCCCGGCTGGAAAACAGTGTTAGGTACTACGTCAGTGGTTAGTGTAGTCGAGACTTTAGAAAGTGACGTTGTTAGTGTAGTGTACAATCCTTCATATGACTTTAACAAAAACGAAGCAAACGCGGGTAGTTTCTCGCCGACTCCGCCTGCGCCCGCTGCCGTACTGAGTGATCGGGCTGCCAGGGCTTTGGCGCGCCGTTTCCGTCAAGTCACCGCCGCGGAATCTCATGTTTAAGGACCACGAATTGGTTCGGAACATGTTGAGCAAAAATTCGACTTAAATACGTGAGTTATCCGTTATTTTTAGTTAATATGTCTGAGTCTCACGGTGGTTTTTTAATTAAAATTAAGGTGGCCCTTGTTTGCCCAATTCCTTTGATGTAATTTCACGAACTTTTGAGGTAGATTTTTTTTTATATTGTATATGTATTTTTTCAGTTTACGAAATATATCCGTTAACATTGTTCTTCTGTTTACTCAGTGCCCGAAGATAACTCCTGCCTTTCGAATAAAATAAAAGGTATATGCGTGAGGTACTACCTTTGTGATCACGTCGACGTTGGCCACGATGTCAGCGATAGGTGAGTAGTATACAAATTTGAAAAGCTTGTAAACCACTAATGTGCCGTGACCACGGCAATAAAATAGGATACTTCGGTCCATATAAATTTATTCCATAGTTAAGAGGGAGCATGTAAAAAAAGTTTTTGGCGTTGGCTCCGCCCACATTTGTGAGACAAATAGATGCCTGAAGTTCGCGTGACATGCGACAGGAGATGTTGAATTTTGCGCATTAAAAGTACCAAATTCGTTTTAGCGGAATAACTCTAAAACTAAAGGGATTAAAAAATAAATCCGTAGTGACAGTTCTCGATCATGCATAAATATAATTAATTATCTAATTTTTGTCCTAATAACCTGTAGCATTTCGAGGATGAATCGAAAAAATGTGAAAATTAGAGGTCATTTCGTGATTTTTATCTATCGAGGAAACTTTATTGTTTTATTTTTCTGATTAGTGTCTATGCTTGAATATATCGTGTAGTTACTCATACAATATTTTATTTTTAAGTTTAAAGTGGATATACCCCTCTAAAATCAAATCGAAGATTAGGAATTTTTCCTCTGCTCCCGTTTAAGTCAAAAGGAAAAGGCCGTAACAAGAAAAGGTATATAATAATTGTATCTTTTTCGTTGAAAAAAAAAACCGATCACAAAAGTTAGCTTATCGGGTTTTTCCGATTTCTATGGGATCCCCTCATCAGATTTCTGACTTCTTAGTGAGAATGGGACTGTTACAGACTCCTTTGTACATTTTTTTTCTGGTTGTCATGGTGACAGTGATTTGTAGAATACATGTATTGTATCAAGTGAAAAGTCGACTTTTATTTGCGGAAAATATTTTTTTAATTTGTGATAGTCGAAACGAACCCGGAACGGCTTCGTTGGCATCAGGTACCACCTCGAGAGTATACCCTTTCACACAAAAAAATGATTTTCAAAATCGGCCCGCATCTTATGGAGCAAACGATATGTCAATGTACATGTCTTTAAAATAATAATAAGGATCTTCTTGTGGTGAAGTCTTGGGCTGATGCGTTTGGTTTGCTTGTAAACCCTAGGAAATCACAGGCAATGATTGTAGGTAGCAACAGACTTTACTGCAGGTTGGACATTAATAATCTCCCCAAGGTCTCGTATGATGGAGTGAGTATTGCATATGCTGAAAACACAAAAAACCTGGGTCTGATAATCGACCGTACACTGTCCTGGAGACCACAGGTAAATGAGGTTAGTCGACGCATTCACTTTTCCTATCATTCTCTCAAGCGGCTTCAATTCTTCTTACCGTTCAACACCAAGGTTATGCTTGCTCAGTCCCTACTACTCCCTCTTCTCGACTATGCCGATGTTTGTTATTTGGATGTTACTGAGGAGCTGCTTAACAAACTAGAGCGCCTACAAAATCTGGGAATCCGTTTCATATTCGGTTTACGTAAATATGACCTTATCTCTGAATTTCGGACTAAATTGAAATGGCTCCCAATCCGACTTCGCCGAGATATGCACGTTCTTTGTCTTCTTTATAAAATTTTAAAGTACCCCCAGCTTCCTCATTATCTGTGTTCCCGTTTTTCCCCCTTATCCCCCAATTCCCGCCCAAAACGTACCTGTGACACTAGAACACTTTTATATCCCCAATCCAACTCCAAATTCTTTCACAATTCTTTTACCGTAAGTGCAGCTCGTATGTGGAATAAACTACCTGCTAACATTCGTGATAGTCCATCGGTGGCATCTTTCAAACACAAATTAAAAGAGCACTTCCTGTCGAACGCGTTAGATAGTTTATAGGTTACATATTTGTAAACAAATGATCTGTTATTATAATATATATTCTGCTTATGTATGTATTTATGTATATAAAGTTCATGTATGTGCATGTCTGTCGTATGTATATTATTATCATTTATATTTTATTCACATTTAAATTTAAATTTTGTTGTACATTAATTAGTCCCGCAGACTTCATTTTTGCACCACGGCTAGGGTTGGCTGGAAGAGATCTCTTATAGAGATAAGCTCACCTTTGTATATGTCCATTGTAACGTGTGTTTCATGTATCTTTTCTTTGTACAATAAAGAATATATTAAAATTCATGTGTTTTCCTTGATTTCCATGGATCCCCTCATCAGATTCTGACTTGGTGACAATAGGACTACCACGAGAGTGCACCTTTTCAAACAAAAAAAGAACTTTCAAAAACGGTCTACAATTGACGGAGAAATCTATAAAACACTCCCTTGTTGCGTGTCGTTAAATCGTTATGCAATTTGCATATTTTGGGGTTAAGTGTGGGATTAATAACTATAGGCTTTCAGTTGAAAACCAAAATTTTGCAGGTTTTCTGTAGTAAGTAAAGAGAAATATCTCCATATAAGAAATAAAAAAATAAAATAAAAGGAAAAAAATACATAAATATAGACCATAAACTATTTACAAGAGAAACATGCTCAGAAGTGAGACTGTAAGACCTGATACGAAACAGCCTGTATTGCACGTTTAGCATCCCAATCAAACTGGTTCCGCCGAGCCACTACACCGGACCGTGATGGCTTGCAGAGAATGCGATATTTTATTTATAAAACATGATTTAATTTATAATATATATAACATGTATGTTTTTCGAGTTCTCCGTCAATTGTGAACCGTTTTTGAAAATTCTTTTTTGTTTGAAAGGGTGTACTCTCGCGGTGGTCCCATAGTGGATCCCATGGAAATCGAGAAAAATCCTCAAATTTTGTAGGGTTGTCGTGTATTCACCAACTTATCCGGTATTTTTTTTTTTTTATAACACACATAGCTTATAGTAAGTTAAAAATATATAAAACGGTGTCGCATAAAGCTATTAAAGTTTTTTCTGTACACCGCTGCATATCATGTTGCCATTAATAAACACAAAAATGGGGTAGGTAAGAAGATATTTCGCTCCCACCGACTCGACTGACCGGTCACATTCGTCGAAGTGTGTGTGATGAAACCATTCTTTCTGTCGATAATGTTATACGGTATGTTTCATTTTCATAATAGTAAATTACAATTGCAAATTACAATTACATTTGAAATTTACTTGATTATGACTCTATTTGATTAAGGAGGTATTGTTTTAGTTTATCCTTTATGTTTTTGGCGTTAAGCACGTCTTTTAGTGCTTTAGGAAGATCATTAATAATTCGAGGAATTATGTATTTGTTTTGATGTTCCCCGTACATGTTATGAGTCCTCGGAATAGTTAGTTTTGGATTTGCTGCACTTCTCAATTGACTATTATTTTAATATTATATTTAGTATATTTAATATTATATTATATTATTAATATAATAGGCACTTGTAAATCCATGCTAAGGAAATGTTCTATAGGAAACATGTAATTTCTTCTTTCGTTTACGGGTAGGACTTTACAGAACTTAAACAACTCGTAGTTATTTCTAAATTCCTTCTTAAATTTCTCAGGTACAATGGTTTTAAGAATTCTTAATTGGAGCTCATGTATGTCATACAAGTGAGACTTGCAGGTCCTCCCATAACTACTAAGACCGTACTGTATTATGGAATCGGCCAGTGCATTGTACAATGGCAATTAATTATCGAGAATTTCGCGAGTAAAGCCCTCACCTTATCGCACTCTTTGTTAATGTGGTTCACCCACTTGAATCGGCTGTCTATCACAAGGCCCTAGTATGTAAGTATGGTAGTCAATCTGATCGATGCATGGTCACAGCTACAATTTTGGCCGTTTAGGTCATTGTGAAGACATTCATAACTAAGAGCAACAAGCCGAAGGTTACAAGACAATTTATTTTGGCTGGATGACATGTAAATAAATTTTGTTTTAGATGCGTTAAATACAAGGCCAGAATCGTGGGACCATTTTATTAGATTAGTAAAATCGTCCTGAAGATGTAGAAGGGCAAAGTTAATGTCTTTATTAGCTGCCATTAGCAAGTGTCATCCGCAAATTGGTAAACTTGACAATGTTTAACAACATTCGTCACGTTGTCGGCATAGGTCAAGTAATGCAAGGGCCCGATCACGGAGCCCTGAGCGGTACCATGCACAACGTTTTGCATGTTACTAAAGTTTTCACCCAATGCCACGCAATATTTCCTATCTTTGATGTAATCTTCACACCATTTTAGAACCGGGCCACGTATTCCACACTCGTCAAGTCTATCAATTAGGACACTGTGCTTTAATGTATCGAACGCTTTACTGTAATCTATAAAGACTACCAGGACATGATTTTTACTATGCAAGAAGTCATTGACATCATCAGTAAATACTAAATGTAATTGAGATGTAGTCTTATGTTCTTGAAAGCCATATTGGTTTTTATTTCTCATATTATTATTTTTATAGAAATTGTATATTTGTTTGCATATAATATTTTTCTACTATTTTGTCTAATGTGGATAATAACGTAATGGGACGATAATTTTCGTACTCTTGTTTATCTCCTTTCTTATAAATTGCCCTAACAACACCTGTTTTAAGCTCGGCGGGATATTTCCCTTTTGTAATACTAGCATAATAAGGTTAGCGATTGCGCCCGATTTTTTTTGTCCCAAATTGATTTTATGTCATAAGCTCTAATTTTGTCAATTCCGGGAGCTTTGTTAGGGTTAATTGCTTTTATAATGTTAGCAACATTATGCGGTGTAGCTTTTTGATAACGCATGCTAACACTTGACGGTAAGAGGTAGACAGAAGAAGGCGATTGCAATCCGGCACTATATTAGAAACACTCTTATTAAAAGCATTAGCAAAATTATTCGCAATCTCTAATGGTTTATTGATGTTACTTTTAAATGCGTCAAATATAGTATCATCTACAGATTTTGTTAATCTTCCTGTGATTTTATTGAGAATTTGCCATAGCTTTTGGATATTATTTTTATTTTTACTAATATCCTTTTTAAGGTACCTATTTTTCGTTTTTTCGATAAATTTATTAGCAAAATTTCGAGCTCTATTATATTTTTGTTTAATAACCAAGTCATTAGGATTTTTTAACCATTGCCTAAACCAATAATCTCTGTTTATACATGTCTTTACTGTTACTTTGTTTACCCAAGTTTTGTCCATTCGCACTACTGATCTTTTATTTAGTCGTATATTAATTTTAGAATATTGTAACATTGTGCAAAATTACCTCTTATGTATGAATAAATTGATAATGGACAATCCATATTATTTGTTGCTTCTCAACCAACTTTTTGTAATAAAGAGATTACTTTTGATGTGTCAATACATTAAATTTAGGAGCTTCCTGTATTCCTGGTGGTCCGCCAGTATTGATCTTATATTGATATGCCTACAAATGAGATTAGTTTTGGCGGGTATTTTGTTAAGGAATACTCTTATGTTAGTACAATTTTTTTATTCAATATGGTTATCAGAGAGAGCCATTTATATAACATAGTTAATATGTTAGGTACTAGGTTGACCTGTTTGAGCGATATATCTACTTAATCTGTCTCAATATTTTTTTAATGTCTTCTTCGCGTCTAATAACAATAACTTCTGCCTTTTCATCTTTACGAACACGAATTACTCCTCCTTTGCACCATATATATATAAATGTTGTCTTCAGTTGTTGCTTAGCTTCCCACAAAAGTTTCTTGTTATAATATGATAGGGCTTCCCTTATATACACCGGTTGATTAGCTATAGGTTCCTGTAGGTTGTCAGTCAGATCACAAGCCAACAATTTATCTTTCTTTGCAGCCAATATCCAATCCGCTGGCGCTGTTACATTTTTGAAATTAATTTCAATAGTAACCTGGCTTCTCGTTTCGTCGTTGGTCGAAACCGTCAACTTTTCTGCTATTTTAGCATGTAGGTAGTACTTCTGTTTTTGTGTAGGGAACATTGCCGATTTCTAAACATTTGTTAAGTTGAATCTGTTCAATCTCCTTCAGACGCTGCTCCAGTGCACCCACTTTTATTTCCAGGTTGTTATTTTTGTTTTGAAGTTCAATGTTTTTCTTCTGTAATTCCTGTATTTTTAATTTAAAATCGTCCATCGACTCCGATATTTCGTCCATCTTATCACTCTGGTATTCGAGAGCTTTAGTCATGTCACCTAGTTCTTTATGAATAGCCTTTTCCATTTCTTTAGAGATATCTTTAAGCAGTTGTTTTACATCGATTTGTACAGGGTTCGTGTATTTTTTGGGAATATTACCAAAATCGTTTTTCTCGTCCTCATCATCATTTGGTGGAATATAAATGGAGCTACGCCTGGGTGAGATTTCCACACATTCCGCGCATCCTAGGCTTCCAGCAGCTTTTAGCGCCGCCCTTTGCTTCGTTGTCAGCCCAGAACTGCTACCACTTAGGTGAACGATCTTGTTGTAGCGATTACATTCCGTTCCAGGATTGGTTTTGTTCATTGACTTACAAATAAATGGACGACGGGTCTAATACAAAAACCACGAAAAAAATGTCCCAAGTCAACCTATTCGAAATTTAAATTGTAATGTCATCGCAGTATCGCGCTGTCAGTAGAACAAATGAAGACTAAAGCGGAGTTTGGCGCTCTGTATACGATTTTAGCGCCTTACAAGTGCGGACACTTTTTAGCGCGGACCCGACGTCCATATAATTGTAAGTCAATGGTTTTGTTAATATTTTTTCTACATTTATCACACTTTGTCATTGTTGCGGGTAGAACGCTACAACAAAACTCAGAGTAACTGTATGCGTACGTACCAAGCGAAATACGACAGCTGACTAAATTGCGGACCGATTTTGAAAATTCTTTTTTATTTGAAAGGGTATATTCTCGAGGTGGTCTCTGATGCCGACGATGCCGTTCCGGGTTCGTTTCGGCAATGACAAATTAAAAAAATATTTTCCGCAAATAAAAGACGACTTTTCACTTGACACAATACATGAAATCAACAAACACCGTCACCATGACAATCAGAAAAAAAGTTTAAAATGTACAAAGGAGTTCGTAACAGTCCCATTGTCTGTCACCAAGGAGTCTGAATCTGGTGAGGGGGTCCCATGGAAATCGAAAAAAACCGATAAGCAAACGTTTGAGGTCGGTTTTTTTTTAAATGAAAAAGTTACAATTATGTTATTTGTGATGCGCTTTGTCTATGTGTACATTTATTTGTATTACCTTGTTTAAACAAAATTTTGTCTGTATGTATGAGATTATGTGTGTATAAATGTAATGAATAGAGCAGCACTCAAACAAACCTTTTTAGGTTTAAGAATGCAAAGTACCTAGATAATAAATTATTGTAATATGAGTAAATAAATAAAAAATGAAATAAAAAAAACGTTAGCTATATATACATACAAATACCAAATAACAAGTTTTACGGATTGGTAAAATTTGTCCACAGAAAAACTAATTTTAACTGATAATGTTCTATTTAAACTTACAATAATAATAACCATTTTCTTTTTTTTAAATTTTTACTGAATTGTTGTTCAATAATTTTTTTGTGAAGTTACTCCACTAGTTTGTTATAAGCAAACCATACCAGACGCTATGCCAACTAAGCTTAGTTGGTATAGCGTCTGCCACGGTTTGCTAGAAGACTTCGGTTCGAATCCGGCCGGATCGAATGAATTTTTTCAAGTGTTCGATCTTTGTATTAATAAGTTTTTCTTTTATGCAGTGTCTTCAAGATTTTGTCGATAAATTATTTAAAAAAATTATAAAACATGAGTAAAAATATGATTTGTTTCGAATAAGTGGATATTTCACGTGTGTTTTTTTTTTGCTGTGTCAATAACAGAAACTGCCCTTCGTATTTTGACGTCTGCTGTCAACCATCCCACGTACTAACTCTCGAGGACCTTAACATAAACCGTACAACTACGAACCGCAAGGAACAGGTGAGTTGTGTTTGAGTAAGTTGCTATTTATAACCGACTTAAAAAAACTTCTATCTTTGTATGTATGTTATGCCATGAATCCGTCATTAGTGAATCGATGTTTATGATTCTTTTTTTGTTGTAAAGAGGGTACCTCAGTAGTAGTTTCATTTAAATTTGAAGAAAATATTCCAATTTCACTCTCAGGGCGCGTGTACACGCTAAGGGCTCAAGCAGCGTGCCGGCGATATTTCGCGAGTGTGCTCGCACCGACTCGCTGCAACTTGTTTTAACACGTACAGCTAAATAGCTTCGTGCAGCGTGCCCGCGACGAGTGGTGCCAGATTGGGCGATTTTTCGCCAGTCCCGCGACGGAGCGCGAGACGCGGAATCACGCGCGCGGTGCGTCAGATCTGCGTCAACGCGCGGTTTAATCTGCGCGGGGGCAGCGGTTTATCGGCCCCACGTCACTTAAAGTACTCACTTCGTAGTTGATAGCCGTAGTGGTTGTATATATAGCCGAGATCCTTCTTTAACAAGAATGGTTAATAATACACAACTCATTTAGGACGTTGCAGTTATATCGTCTATTTGGTTTCTGTTTACTTAAATAAAAAGACACCGAAGATATTGGATACGTCCCTTTTTACGAACCAGATCGATAAATGGATAATTTCAACTTCATTACAAAGATTTAAGAAAATATGAAGATAAATTTGGTCGATTTTCAATAGCAAATATAAATTTATCGACGTCGAGATGTATTGTAGAAAACTGAGCATGTCCTTAAGCTTAAAAATCTGCGCTTTAGTGCGGAGCGCAGTGTGCCATACCCTGCGGTTCGCCGCGCCCCTCCGCGCGAGGGCGCGGTAAGACCGCGCGCGCCGGGGAGGCGTTGTCAGTGTGTTCGACGGCCCGTGTTTTCCATACAAACTGAGATACTACAGTACAATGTTAGAAAACGCAGCTCCGCGCTCCGTCGCGAGACGCGGTTTGTGTGATAATCGCTTTAGGTTTCTTCGCGGGGTCGTGCGGCGACTAAAAAAGTGATTGGCGACTCGGTGATAATTAGGCTATGTTTGAAATAGGAAAAGGCGATTTTAGGCTACTTAGTAAAATGTCTGGTGAATTACAAATTTAATTGGGGATTTTGTGGGGAATGGCGTAGTAAAACAACTCATTTGAGTATTTCTACGTGTCGGGGAATCGGGGAAATAAGAGAGTTCATATTGCCCAATTTCCGGCAGCAAGCAGACTTGTAGAATTGTTTTCCTTGATTTGTAGGGATTTTTTGGCTTGGGCGAATATCGGCTATTTAACACACATAAATTGGCGAATTAACTTCGCAAAAGTCTGGCAACCCGCGATCATCGACCATTGGTTGCGAGACAAGTCGCTTGTGACCAATGTTGCCAGGTCAAATCTGAAAAAATCGGAAGATATTGCACCAAAAAACGGTAGATTGAGGAAAAAAACAGTAGATGCTGAACTTACCCAGAAACACTTTGAATCGATTTTCTTCAAAATTCAAAAATTGATTGGTCATTTTTAACCGACGTCATAAAAAGGAGGAGGTTCTCAATTCGACTGTATTTTTTTGACTTTAGCTTTTCTTCCAAGATTGGTGTAATGGTATCCAAGATGTAATCAAATGTACTTATTTTCATTCTATAGTAATTGAAAAATCTATCTTCGTGTTGTCTGAGATCGGGATACATGTGATGAAATTGTCCGAAAGTAGCCCGCAGAACATTAATTGGATGAATATTAAATCTCCTTCTTCTTATCCTTCGTATGGCACGGACTCGTAAAACGGAATTTTATAACAAAAAAGTTCTGATAGTATATCCATTTTTCCTGTAGGTATGATAATTGCTTCCAGGCCTCTATCGTCTTCAGTTTCCTTCTCTTTTTCCCCAGTAACAGCTGACAATTTGCGAAAAATTATATTCTCTATAAAATCTAAAGCTGTAGGATGTGATGAGGTGAGCAGAGAGATGATTGTCGACATTGTTGGTCAAGTTCTCCCTACTATTGTTCATATCATCAATTTCTCCATACAGCATGGTGATTTCCCTCGTGTTTGGCGTAAGGCATTTATTACACCTTTGCCAAAAATCTTTTCTCCAACTAAACTGCAACTAAATAACTTTAGACCTATTTCTATTCTTCCTTTTCTCTCTAAAATCTTGAATCTGCTGTTCATCAACAAGTATCTTCTTTCACATTTTCTAACAGCCTTCTTACTACTTTTCAACCAGGCTTTCGCCCGGGACACAGCACGATAACGGCCCTACTCAAAGTTATCGAAGACATCAGGTTGGGCATGGAGAAGCAGTTGGTCACTGCTATAGTACTCGTTGACTTCTCCAACGCCTTTAACATTGTAGACCACGACATTCTGCTTGCCATCCTGAAGCCTCTTAATTTTTCGCGGTTGTCATTGGATTGGTTCTACCTTCGTGATCGCGAGCAAGCGGTTCGTGTGGGACCAAAAGTTTCCAACTTGCATGATTTAACAACTGGTGTTCCGCAGGGTGGCATTCTGTCACCACTTTTGTTTTCTCTTTTTAATAATTTTCTTTCTTTCTCATTAACTGCTCTTACCATTGTTATGCTGATGACTTGCAGATTTACACGCAAAGTAAATGCCTGCTAAGGACGTTAATTCAGTGATTTCTGTGATTAACCGCGATCTATAGAGCATTAGTGCGTAGTCAACTAATTTTAGGATATTTAGTCAAGCAATTATCGTAGGTGGATCTAAACAGATATCTAAGATTGACCATAGTTTGCTCCATCATGTAGTGTATGAAAACTCGTCTGTTCCACTCAGCGTTAGTGTTAAATATTGGCCTCTACATTGAATTCACACTAAGTTGGTCCACACAGGTGTCCGAGGTTAGTCGTAGGGTTATTTCTTCTTTATGTTTTCTCAACCGCTCTCGGAATTTTCTTTCTATTAGTTCTAAGATCTTACTTGTCATCTCCCTGATATTCCCACTCCTTGATTATGCTGATGTCTGTGTCCCTGATCAAAATGAAAATCTATTATCTTATATTATATTGGATCGCCTTCTCAATAATGCTATCCGTTTCATCTTCTGCCTACGCAAATTGATCATGTTTCTTTTTCAGGTCGCAAATTAAATGGCTCCCTATTCGTCAACGCCGGCAGAAGAGACTACTCTGCGTTGTACTCTATTCTTTTCAATCCTCACTATCCAGAACACTTAAAATGTAAGAGTCAATATCTCGGGGACTCTCACAACCTCCCTCTTCGATCCATGAATTCACTCTCACTCATTGTACCTCCCTTTCATGTCTGACTTCTTCACTCTCCAATTGCTACGTATCTGGAATGCTCTCTCAGACTCCATCAGAAGATCTCCAAGAATATTTGTAAGGAAAAATGAAAACATTTGATGACATCTTGAGAAGTGCTGTATTTTTTTTTTTTTAGATAAGGTTAACCTAGTGTTGTCCCTTATGCCCTTACATGCCCTTTAAAAATTAAATTTTTAGTTATCAATTAACAAACAAATTTAATTTTTTACATATTTTATAAAATAAACCTTACATATTCTCTTTCAAAAAAAAAAAAAATAAATAAATAAAATAAAATAAAAAATAAAATATATGTATTAAGTTTGTTTGTTATATTTTACATATATTATCATAAAATTACTACATATAAGTTATTATAAGATATTATAACGTAATATTTTGTTTAATAATTATTAATATAATTTAAATAATAATATGTAATATATAATTATATATATAATAATTCGACGCGTTTGTGAATTTAGTTTTTCTTAAAGATTGTCTGGTGGAGAATGCTTTTAGCATTAAGTCTGTAGTATTGATGAAATAAAATATTGTTTGGGGGAAACACAAGAGTTTTATTTCTTTAGTATTTTACACGTCTTATACAATGTCCCGGCAATTGCAAAGAGACTGTTTCATTTTGACAGTTAGTGACGTTCTGTGCCACGAAAGCCATGTCACGTTATTACATATATTACAAAGTCCGCCTTTTGTACTATCATGTCTTGGGGTCAAAAACGTTTTAATAAATAAATAAATAGAAATAATTCTTCGGAAATTCACTAAGCTATCGGTCGGTCGCCGGTAGTACATAGGGCGCTGTGGGGGCGGATTGTGAGAAAAAACGCCTGGTTGTAAATTGAGCTT